CCGGGTACATTGTGGTGGATTCAGCCAACTGGGTGGCAAGGTTCTGTCAACGCCACAAGGATGTTATCAAGTCAGTTTACCTGCGAAATATCGACCAAAAACGCAAGATTGCGGACAATTCTACATACTTTAAGCATTATTTTGATCTTGTATATATTGCTTTTCTCTACTGCTTTTCTTACTTTTATCTTGCTAATTTATTATTGATTTGCAGCTACAGGAAAAGATCACTAAATACAATATTGAACCTGGGAATATCTACAACTTCGATGAAAAAGGATTCCTATTGGGCTTCATCCACACCCTCAAGCGTATTGTATCAATTAATGCGCTCAAATCCGGCCGTACAATAGGTGCCAGCCAGGATGGCAGCCGCGAATTCATTACACTACTTGCCTCAATTTGCGCCGATGGAACCTCACTCCCACCTGCTCTCATATATCAAGGGGAATCAAGGGATATGCAAGATACTTGGCTGGAAGATTTTGATAGCAAAAAGGATCAGGTCTACTTTGCTGCTTCAGAGAATGGATGGAGCAATGATGAATATGGGTTAATGTGGTTAAAGAAGATCTTTGAACCTCATACAAAAAAGAAAGCAGGGCGTGGATACAGGCTTCTTATATTAGATGGCCACTCATCCCATGTTAATATGGCATTCATCAATTACGCGGCTCAGCATAAGATTTTACTTGCTGTCTTTCCTCCCCACTCTACACACCGATTACAACCGCTAGATGTTGGGATATTTGGACCATTGAGCAAATCATATTCTAAGCATTTGAATGAGCGAATGAGAACCGGTATGGGATTTGTACGCACTACAAAGAGGTCTTTTTGGCAGCTATTTGATGCTGCTTGGAAGGAATCAGTTACATCCTCAAATATTATATCCGCGTTCGCTGCGGTTGGCCTACATCCATTTGATCCAGAACAGGTTCTTAAAAAGCTTGCAATACGCCCTTGCACCCCTCCAGACGCGCAATATCGACCCAGAACCCCTACATCTATTATTGGCATGCGGAAATTAGTCAAGCAAGTCAAGCAGCGGCAGCGTCGAATATCTAGCGATCTCAACCAGGTGATCCGTGCAGGAGAGAATCTTGCTCTTGATAAAGAGGTTCTTTTAATAGAGAACAGGCAGCTACAGCAAGCTCTTAATCAGGAAAGAAGACGTCGCAAGCGTGGCAGGGCAATGGGGTTGCTAGATTCTTCAAATCCGTCATTGGCACAGTTCTTTTCACCGGCAAAGGTGCAGAGCATCCGCGAGCAGATGACTGCCGCAGAGGCCGCCAAAAAGGATGAACAGGCTCGTAAGGAGGATGCCAAGTTGCAACACGCTATTCTTAAGGAGCAGAAGGAGACAGATATCATGTTACAGCGAATGGAGCGGGAGGCAGCTCGCCAGGCAGCTAAGGAGCAAAAGGAGATGGATAAGGCCGCAAGAGCCGCTCAACGGCAGATTGACAGGGAGCTTAGGGATGCAAAGAAGGCCCAAGAGCAAAAGGAAAAGGAAGAACGAGCTGCTGCGCGGCAGCAATCGCGGTTGGGGGGGGGGCCAGGTTCGGGGGTCCAAAAATCACCTTCCTAATCGGGAAATCAGACCCTCGATTTCGCAAAGAGTGGCTAAATCGCGTTTTCAGAGCTCTGCCAGGTTGCCCGCGGGTCCGCCGCCGGGGGGTCCGGATGATATTGCAACCCCTACGGATTTGACCGCTGCCTGCTCATTGAATCTGCCTCCACCCAAGATTTCGCGTTCCGGGCGAGTTATTAAGCCCAACAAACATCTTTTGAATTAGCTATATATTTTTATATGTAATTTTCTATATATATTTTCATCATATAATATATAATATTAAAATCTAATTGCGTTGTTGAGATATTAATGAAAAGATTTCATTGTAGTGGTGGCAAAATAGCGGGCGTTGAGTGTAGACGGGCGTTGAGTGGTTGATTACGTTAATCGATAAGCGAGCGAGCCACATAAGCAAGCGAGCCACTTCCCACCTGCCATACAACAAGAATGCTCTTCAAGTCCTGAATACAACCCAAAATTAACAAACTGATATTATCAATTATTTCCTGTACGCTTAGAGCATGTACGGGCAGTATGCCCAATAATCCCACATACACTACACTGTGGTGCTGCACGTCTTCGTGGTTGGGACTCAGCAGCCTCAACCACCCCTCTTTCCCATTCATTGATGCTTCGTACGCGATCCAAGCCTTCTTCCACCCCCAAAGCTCCCTCTTGGGCTACATATGTACGGCCTCTTTCTCGCCTTCTCTTTTGTTTAGCATTTGTAGCCCTTAACTCCCTATTTTCAGCTGCTAGAATAGCAGCACTATGCATTGCCATTTGACATCCCTTGACCAGCTGATTTAGGGCACGATCAGTTGGGCTGGGTGGGCTCTGCGTACGGTGCTTAATATATCCTTTAACTTTCTTAGTCTGCTGCTCTAGCTGGTGTTTATTATGTGGTGTAGCAGTGGCCCAGGAGGCCTGAGAGCTATGAGAGGTCCCAGTTGGGGTGGGGGTATGCATTGTGGTATTAAGGCGCGAGAGAACCTGCTCAGGATTGTATGGAACCAGCCCAGCTGCCCTGAAACTGCTCTTGATGTTGTTCTCAGTCAGAGCCTGCATCTGAGCTGCAGGATATAGGGCCAGAAACTCCTCCTTGTCAATATGATTGATCCCAAGCCGCATCTGATTCTCCACCTGTCGTCCATATGCAGTCTTCAAGGGGGAGAAGCACCCAACATCCAGTGGCTGAAGAAGATGAGAGGAATGTGGTGGCATGTAGAGAGCAATGATCTGATTCTCAGAGCAGAATTGATCAAATTCAGCTGAGGCATGGCTTCGGTGCCAGTCTAGAATCAGCAGTCGGTATCTGCCCTTCGTACGGGGTAGAGTCTCCTTGTTGAACACCTCTAACAGCCAGTACAAGCCCAGCTGGTCAGTGGTCCAGCCATTCTCACTGACTCGT